TTATCAGTCTTCTGCCACTCTTTGCTTTCATAGTTTACTGTTTTTTGGAAAAAAGGTTTGTTGTAATTTTGGTATGAAGGATTGTCGAAAAGAGTTGCTATTTAGTTTTGACTAGATTCTTGTCAATATAAATATGGTAAGTTTATAAATATACTCTAAGAGTTTTAATAAATCTATTCAATACTGTTATAAAAATGTTTTACTTATACTAATATAATACAAATTATTATTATTTTTTTTTTTTGAATTAGTATTATACTTCAAATACAGTCATACAAATTTCTTGTTGATATAAATATAGGAAGTATAAATATATTTGTAATATTCTCAATAGATAAATATATTTGCTAACAATATTAAATTTATTGTTTTTTTTAATACAACTAGTATATTTAAGAGATTTTTGTCGATATAAATATGGTAAGTTTATAAGTACGCTTTAAGAGTTTTGATAAATCTATTCAATATGTACTATTATAGTAATATTACTTATACTAATATATAATACAATTTATTATTACTTTTTTTTTTTTTTGAATTAGTACCTCAATAAAACCATTTAGAGAGTATTAATAAGTTATTATATAGGAGAATAGCTTCAATAGAATTACCTGTTTAGCTTCAATAGCAATTCAAATTTATCAAAAACTGAACATGAGTATGATCACATATCTGCATAAAATCAATTAAATAATTAATTTAATTAGGGCCAGGAGTTTTAATCACTTAATTTGATCAGGTCAAAATAAGTATTATTTTAATGATATAATTAAGGAATAATAAGAGCACAGAGGTAAGATAGTTAGAGATAGGCAAGTATTATTATTTACTTATATTATTATTTTGCTTATCTTTAGATAATGGATTGGAAAAAAAATTAGTTATTGAATGTGAATTTAGTTATTATATATGAGTTTTAGTAAATATATAAACAAATTATAAAAAAAAAAATAATAAAACAATAAATAAAGTCTTTATTAAAGTGAACATTTAGTCTTTAAATGCAGTTTTTTAAATTTTACATATTTTTATTATTTAAAATACATAATTTGTATTTAACTAAAATAAATTCAATTTTTAGTCATAACCCTAAACTCAATCTCTAAAAAAAAATAAATGAATGAATGAAAAGGTAACCAAAGAAGTGAACAAAAGGGTAAATGAAAGAGTGAAAGAATAAATAAACTACAACCTACTTCTAACCACCAAATCAAAACCCCTATTTCTAACTAAAAAAAACCTACTACTCATTTGTAGACAATTACTTCCTTACTATTGTATAATTAGTACTTTAAATAATTTCATTCGTATTTAGCCTGTAAATATAGAGTTATTTCTTAATTATTGATATTAAAACAACAAAGCAAGTTTCATATATAGGACCCCCCACAGCAAAAGGGGGCAGTGGGCCAAAAAAATTTTTTTTATTTTTAATTGATTTCTTGAAAAATTAGATTGATAGGAAACCAATGTTTATAAAATTACAAAATCAAAATTTTTGTCCCACTGCCCCCTTTTGCTATGAGGGTTCCCATATAAAAAACATATATAATTTTTATTTAATTTTTTAAAAAACTCACCCGGATAGTAAATATACTAAAATTTTTTTCTAAGGTTTGTAAATTTTGACCCGGCCGGGTTATGAAAATCGAATGATTAAATTTGTATACCCTTATTATTAATATAATATAAATTTCCTCGAGTCTCAATTAAATAACTTTTTTTAACTATTAGAAAAGAATTTGAAACCTTATTATTTAAAAAAATTATATATTCTTAATATAATTTCAAAAGATGACTGAGATCAATACAGCGATACCAATTGAAGAATCATCTGGCATAAAGCTTGATCTGGAAGAAGAACGAATTTTGAAGGATCAGATTGATGTTCCTGAAAGAAAAGTATCATATATTACTTTATATCGATTTGCTGCAAAACTTGACTGGATAATAATGTTTATTGGGATAGTGTTTTCAATGGTCACAGGAACCATCATGGTATGTGCATAATACTTCTCTTTTTACGCAATTGATATTTCTAAAATTCTCAATTTATGTATTCCATATAAATTCGGCAGCCTATAATGATGACCATTATCGGAAGAACGATCGATGATTATACCCGTTTTCAAAATCACACTATAAGCATAACTGATTTTACTGTAGATGTAAACCACATTGCAGTAATTCTTGTATGCGCCGCCATTGCCATTTTCGTTACTACGTATATATCTATAACTACTTGGGCATATACTGGTGAAAGGTAATATTTTATATAGTCTATAAGTCAAATTTTTTCGATCATTCAAAAATAATACTAATTTCGTCACTGTTCGTCGTTACTTTCAGAATCGCAAGGCGAATTCGTGAACAATATCTTCACGCAGTTCTTAGACAAAACATAGCTTATTTTGATAAATATGGATCAGGTGAAGTTACTACACGCATTACTTCTGATATGCATTTGATACAAGATGGTATCTGTGAAAAAGTTCCTCGCGCTCTTCAAGTAAGCTTATGTATACGTAAAATTGTGTTTTTATTAATTTAGTTTATTAATTTTATTTGATTATTTATTTATGAATTTTTTCTTTTTACCATCATTTTGTATTTTGTTTCATCTTTTATTTTCTTTTTCAGTATATTATACAATTTATTGCATCACTCATTATCGCGCTTATTATAAGTTGGAAAATGACACTCGTGATAATCTGCCTCAACAATTTAATTGTTGTCATTAGTGGTTTAATGAATAAATATAGCGCGATTTTTACGAAAAGAAGCTCGAATTTCTATTCTCGTGCTGGAAAAATCGCTGAAGAAGCTTTTTCAACCATCAGAACTGTGGTGGCCTTTGGTGCTCAAAAGAAGCTTTCTAAACTTTATGATGCTTACTTAAGTGATGCAAAAAAAGAGGAGGATAAAAAAGCTTTGATAATTGGTTTGACTATTGGTGCAAGTATCTTTTGCCTCTATGCCTCCTATTCTTTGGCCTTCTGGTTTGGTTCTACATTGATTCTTAATGATGAATTATCTTCCGGACAAGTACGTGTTCTTTTTTTTCCTCCGCTATTAATTTATTTAAAATCGCTGATAGTTACTGATTAATTTACTTTTATTTTTTTTTTAAAGGTCGTTAATGTATTCTTTGTGATTTTAATTGGATCTGTCAGTCTTGCCAATTTTTTCTCCGAAGCTCAGGCTTTTAGCCTTGCTGCTGGCGCAGGTTCAAAAATATTTGAAACTATTGATCGTATTCCATCAATTGATATCGCTTCTGATCTAGGCAATAAGCCCAAAGACGTTGTTGGTCATATTCAGTTTAAAGATATAAATTTCATTTATCCGACTCGCCCTGATGTTAAAACTTTAAATAATGTATCATTTGATATTGAGCCTGGTTCTACGGTTGCTCTTGTTGGTTCTTCAGGTTCTGGTAAAAGTACGATTGTGTCTCTCATACTTCGTTTCTATGATCCTCTTTCTGGTGGTGTATTTCTTGACGGATG